ATCATCTTGGCAGTGGAGCTGAGAGAGAGCCAGAGAGTGAGGCACAATGACTTGGGAAGGGACCGGGGGTTTGGAATAGTCCAGGAACTGAACACAGTGCAAAAAAGGTTCTATTCAACTAAAGTGTATAGCAATGATTAAGGAAGGGGGGGGGGGAAACCATGTCCTTGTCCGTTGTTTTTCTGGTCACTGACCTGAAAGCAAAAAACAAACAGAATTCCGCCCATTTTAGTTTGGCAAATCTACTTAGAATTGCAATGAGTCTCAGTAGCACCAGAAAATTGACTTTTTAGTCAGTAAGTTTAATGGGGCTTTAACCCAATGGATCTGGCAAGTCATGGTCTCTAACAATTCAGCACTACAAATTATGATCATTTAGAAAAGCTGAGGCAGTAAATTGTGAGGTAATTGTGAAGTAATATTACAGGGCTGCAACCTGACAGTTATTTAGTTGTTCATAAGAATTTTTTAAACAGCATGTTGGGGGGCACACACTGGATTTTTTTGCCTCAGACACCAAAATGTCCTGAACTCAAACCTGTTAACTCCACTTGCAGCTGTTACACTAGGTGATACATTTAGCAACTGGGAAGACACAAAACAAGACGTACAACAGTTTTGCTACAACTCTCCCAGGTTCCAGCATCCCTCTGGTCTTCCAGATTTCAGCCAATGTTAAACTGCACATGCATTGCTGTTCCTATTTCTTCTCAATGTGGTTTCTCTTCTTTTTGCATAATGTCTACACCTTATTTCTTGCGTGTGGTCTGCCCAATGCTGCCATTCATATTCTTAAAAGCTCCATACTCTTTACAGCAAGGGAACACAGACAGAGGCACAGAGGGGGAGAAGAAGTATGGACAAAGGTGACGAGATTCCCCACATTCTGCCAGCCCAGGCAATGCCCCAATAAGGCACAAAACCACCGAGCATTGTGTGCTATAAGTAAAAATTGGGAGCAGTGTTACAGGAAAAAAATATTTCTGCATCAGTTCTCCTGTGACCAAACACAGTGGCTAGGGAAGGACAGAGGTAGGTGGGCAGAGAGAGAGAGAGAAGCAGGCAGGCAGGCAAGGGGGATGGGCTACAGATCTTATGAAATACATTTAAATGAGGAGAGAACAAACATACCAAGTGACTACTGATTTGCTTCTTTCCCTGCATTTCCCTGTGTGGAGCTGGTGCAAGTTTCCTGAAAGAGTGGAAAAGTAAGTAGCTTATTTTACAGAGAGAGAATATATAGATATATTGCAGTATATATATATGTATTTGCACATCAGACTTTTGAAATTCAGAGAGTTGCATCTTGCAAAAGAGTAGAATAAATACATAAAAGCTGAGAAAGGGCAGGACTGATAGGCGCTGAACAGAAAGAATGCTTCCTTCAGACCCAAAGAAAGCTCACCAAGTAATACAGGGGCAGATTTTGAAAAAGGAAACTTGTGAATGAATGATATATTTCACTATGATTTTAAAAGAACCAGTGGGTGGGCATTTTGGGCTATGCTACAAATCATGGAGAATTTTCTTTCTTATTGTTTTCCGGGAGTGAGCTTAATATTTCTCTAACTCAGATCCTGTAGAACAATTGGAAGCCAAATTGTGAGCTAGATGGACCAACTATGTAGTGGGTTACATGGCAGCTTTGCGTCTTCATATATGTAATGCTTATCTTACTCTGTAGGTTGCCAATGTTACTTCCTCAGAGCACTGTCAAAAGTTCTCTTTCAGTGCAAAAGGCAAAACTGTACTGACAGCCATTACCTTCCCTGCGGGACTCCCTAGTGTCTGTGTGCATGTCTGTTTATAGGGGCCTTTTCTTGAAGTCCGCCCTGAGCTACTGTTGCTATGGCCCCCCGGACAGGAAGGAAGGATGTGGCCAGCAGAACATCTAATGATCATTCATAACAAGGAACAGTAGCTGTAAATCCGATAGAACCACACCAATGCACAAATATGGTATAAAACTGTACACAAAATGGAGCATGAATTAGTACCTCATTACGAAATTGTATGCACGTATATCTGACATGTCACAGGAGGAATCTTGGCAGCTTTCCTATTTCAGTGTGGCTCTCTTCTTTAGATCTTTTCACAAGAATCTGAAGAGATCATGAGGTTTAGTTAGTTTTATTTATGGCTTCCCAATCAGACTTAGCCACAACAGCCATCATTTCATCAGTTGGTATCATTACTAACCTGCATCAGCTCTTTCGGACTACAAATATGCTTCTCAAAGAACACATGATTTCTGCTTTGTGGCTCTGTCAACCACACATCTGACCACTGCTGGCTTCTCCAATGCTGGGGATCCTATCTGCACTTACATTTGAGTAGACAAATGCATACCCATGAACCTAAAACAGAAATGTTTATGACTAGTCAAGTGTCCCAGGCATTTCCTGCAGAAAATTAAATTTCCTTATTTCCTTAGCTTTCTACTAACTTTCTCAGCTGTACTATAATGCTTCAACAGTGCAACCATAATATATCTAGGCTAGGGTTGCCAGGTCTGGGTTGGAAAATACCTGGAGACTTTGGGGGTGGATCCAGGAGAGGGTGGAGTTTGGGGAGGGGAGGGGCCTCATCACGGTACAATGCCACAGAGTCCACCCTTCAAAGCAGCCATTTTCTCCAAGGGAGCTGATCTCTGTCAGCTGGAGATTGGTAGTAAAAGCGGGAGATCCCCAGGCCCCACCTGGAGGCTGGCAAGCCTAATCTAGGCAAACCCAGGAGTTCACACATCACTATTTGGGGTCAGAGATCTAGTTAAAATGTGCTTTCAGTTTTTAAGTTGGTTGTTGTAGTGGAGGCTCTGAAGTTTAATGACCTTTGGGCTCCTTCTTTGAGGCCTATATGAACTGGGGTTTAGCAGACATTATACTGGAAAGACGTACTTAGCAAACACCATCAGATTGCACTGGTTTAAACAGCTGGTTGGTGCCTTAGACCAAGACTTCACTGTCTTCTGTTAATTCCTATTGAATATAAAAACCCTGTGAATGCCTGACCTTCTCATATGACTATGGCAATTAATTTCAAAGTGAATTGCTTTGTTGTGTACATACATACATACATAATTGCACACACACACATAGAATGAAGGCTATAAGTAGCAGTTAATCTGATTTACAAACAAGTGCCTCTTTGCTCTGTCCTAAATCTAAGGTAGCAGAGAAGTCCTAAAAGTAACAAGTACAGGAGAGGAATGTGGTGCAATTTTTACAGCAGTGAAAGCTAACATGAGAGAATATGCAGCTGGTAACTGCTAGGGTGACAGCTTCATGCTGAAAGTCACAGTATTAGTCTGGGATACCCAGAGACAGTAATTTATTAATTTGTTTATACCCCAATTTTCTCCCTAAATGGAGACCCAAAGTGGCTCCCTTCCTCCATTTTATCTCTACAGTGACCCTATGAAGTACGTTAAGCTAAGAAAACATAACATAGCGGAAAAAACTACGCATATTGTTTGGAGCTCCTTGGAGGTAGAATGAGATAAAAATGTGATAACTAGAAGAGGGGCCCACCAGACTTTGAGCACTTTCTTCCAATTCAGCTAGATAGCATGTTGTTTGCTATATCCACAGCTTTAGATTATCAGATAGGATTTTTAAATGTGTTGTTGTTGTTGTTGTTGTTGTTGTTGTTATTATTATTATTATTATTATTATTATTATTATTATTATTATTATTATTATTATTATTATTATTATTATTATTATTATTATTATTATTAGAAGTAGCTAAGACCAACTCTGGCCCAAGCATTGTCATCTCCTTTCTGATTGCTGGTCTGGTATCCATCTTGGCAGGATTGTGTTATGCTGAATTTGGAGCCCGAGTTCCTCTGACAGGATCAGCTTACCTCTACAGTTATATCACGGTGGGAGAGCTGTGGGCATTCATCACTGGCTGGAACCTTCTGCTCTCCTATGTAATTGGTACAAACATGTTTTGGGTCTCTGTATTTTAATTTCATGGTGGTTTTATTGATAAACCAGAGGTCTGCAAGATGGAGGGGGTCATGCTACTTGGTCTTTAGATTCCACATGATTTTAGTTGGGTTTTGGAGCTTCTGCTATGGTTATAAAAGTTTGGGGTGCATGGTCACAAATCTTCAAAAGTAGATTTAGTAATGGCACACTTAACAGTGACCCGAGCTTGTTTCAGGAGCTTTATTCCACTGGTTTAGTGTGGGCAAAATACAGGCAACTTAAGCATGTTTGTAAAATAAGCACTCTGTCCATAGGCAAAGTGGTTGTGAAAAATTACTGTAAGAAATTGAGAAAAGATGGAACCAGATGCAGCATAATGTAACAAAGAAGGAAGATGCAAGAACATAGGACAAGGGGGGGGAATGGTCTATTCTTCCTTGCTTTACATAAATAATGGTTATTTGTCCAGTTTTTAGCATTAACATAGCACTAACAAAGATAATTTTAGAAGGGCACAGTATATAATGTGAATATTGATGTTCCTTACACCTTCATATATGTTATTTAAACAGATGGTGAGACTCTCTAAAATCCCTCATTTTCATATTCTATCCATCTCTGACATTACCATCTTGTTTAACTGGCTGACTCTCTACAGGAACCTCCAGTGTGGCCAGAGCTTGGAGTGCTACATTTGATGAACTCCTGGGCAAAAGAATGGGGGTCTTTTTCAGCACCCACATGTCCATAAACTCTCCTGGATTGGCTGAATACCCTGATATCTTTGCTGTTTGCCTCATTGTTATACTGGCAGGTATGTCTGTATTATTCTTTGAATGAAGAGCTGTAAAAATCCAGGAACCAATCCCGTATAATGATACTGGAACGCAAGACATTGGCACTGTCATCCTAAGTAGAGGTATGTCCTTCTAAACCCATGGATATGAATGGACATAGACTAGCACAAATCTGTTTAAGATTGTGCTGTTAATTTTAAAGATTGAATTAATTTTATCTCCCCATCATGTCTTTACTGCAACCCCATCTAGTCAGGCACAGATAATATTGTTGTGAGACTGGAGCCTGATTATTGTGAATGGGCTTGGCCCAGGGGGAATGTAGCCAGGGCTTACCAAAAAAGAATATTGAGATGGTGGATTGTTTCTCAGTAAACAGTAAACATTAAACATTTGCAAATGGCTCTCTAATGGCTCCATCCATTTGCATATATGTGTGATGTAACAGCAGTTTGAACTTGAACACACACATTTCACATTACTGTTCTGAACTGGATGTTATTCGTTGTTGGCCCAATTCTGAGTAAAGCGATACAGGGATGGGAGTTTCATACAGTGAATTTCCTCCCGTTAATGAGCCATCTCTGAAGCGCTATAGTAATTTCAAACAGTGCCGCTTTCCCCCCACACACCCTTTTTCACTGTGCAATCTTCCTTGGACTTTTAAAGAAATGTTCTCAGGTGAGCTTTATTGTGCTAAACCACTGTAGCACTTTAGTGGAGTCAATGCATCTCAATGGTGCCACTATAGCACTGAAGGACAAAAGCGGTTTAGACCTATAGCGCTCACCTTAGAATGTTTAAAAAAAGGTCTGAGGAAGATCGCTCCGTGCAAGGGGGCGGGAAATAAGTGGCATTGTAGGAAGTACTATGTACATTTTAAACAGCACACCACAGTGATTCAGAAGTGCAATGAAGGGGATGAAAACAGAAAAAAGCAGTTTCCTTCAAAAGCAGCTCAACCATGCTTTACTAACCCAACACAAATGGATTTGTATGAACAGGCAAATAAATTCTGCTAGCAGCCAATTACTAAAACGGGTCTGTCTGAAATGTCAGGAAAAATCCACTAACAACCAGTTACTAAAATGGAATACAAAGGCAGTTTGAAAAGGGTCAGAGAGAAGAGTCTTATAGTTGTGAGTGCACAGAAATGCTTTTGCGATGCAGAATCTCTCTCTCTTGGGATCTAATATGAACTAGCAGGTGTGCTACCCCATAAGATTGCTCCTTTTCCTTCTTTATGGTCTTCTTAAAGCAAGTATTACAAAAATTTAAAGCATATGTTACAAAAGGCATAAATCTCCAATGTAAATCTCCTCCAAAGAGAAACAACATGGGTCAACATTGCCTCCAGAACTTTTCACTGCTTGGAGAAGGATGATCAAGTAGCATCATAATCAGAAACTCAGTTACAATGAAAGCCCTCTAACTGTCACCTCCTCGGGCCTGCTGCAACTAGACTGCTGTGATTCTTTCTCTTCTTTTGATATCCATTCATTCTTCCTACAGAACATTCAACCCAGTACATCATTTATTGTTCCTCTCTCTCATCTTCTTTTAAATTTCTTCTTCTTCACAGATTTTTCTGTTCTCTCCACCTGTCCTAAAGCTGAAAGTGCCTATTTATTCACAAGTTGGAAATGAAAAAAAATCCACCTTTTAAAAAAACTGCAAGGCATTTTTAAAAACTCGATGGTTCTATTTTTTATATATTTCATTCTGAACCTGGCTCCTGTGTGGATAGAAAAATCCAGAGAATGGGGGCAAGGTTCAAATAGAGGGTATTATTCTGCAGAGCTGGGGGAAGCCCAGATTTGCAGAAGAATGTGAAAACTAAAAGGGGGGGATTAATTCCCCCCAAACAGAGGAACATTGTGCTTGCACACAGACAACATATAGGTGCGGCCTCTTTAAGTGCCTACAGAGTAGGCAGAAGTGGAAAAGCTGCTGCCGTTGATTAAGCTGGGGGGGAAAGAGCTGGGACTGCTGCCACCAGATGTGCCAGCCTGGTGAGGGAGTGGAGGGGGAAGCATGAGCCAGACAGGTGGAGGTGGTGGTGCTGCATGCAGATGGGAAAGAATGTTTAAAAAAAGGTCTGAGGAAGATTGCTCCGTGCAAGGGGGCGGGAAATAAGTGGCATTGTAGGAAGTACTATGTACATTTTAAACAGCACACCACAGTGATTCAGAAGTGCAATGAAGGGGATGAAAACAGAAAAAAGCAGTTTCCTTCAAAAGCAGCTCAACCATGCTTTACTAACCCAACACAAATGGGTTTGTATGAACAGGCAAATAAATTCTGCTAGCAGCCAATTACTAAAACGGGTCTGTCTGAAATGTCAGGAAAAATCCACTAACAACCAGTTACTAAAATGGAATACAAAGGCAGTTTGAAAAGGGTCAGAGAGAAGAGTCTTATAGTTGTGAGTGCACAGAAATGCTTTTGCGATGCAGAATCTCTCTCTCTTGGGATCTAATATGAACTAGCAGGTGTGCTACCCCATAAGATTGCTCCTTTTCCTTCTTTATGGTCTTCTTAAAGCAAGTATTACAAAAATTTAAAGCATATGTTACAAAAGGCATAAATCTCCAATGTAAATCTCCTCCAAAGAGAAACAACATGGGTCAACATTGCCTCCAGAACTTTTCACTGCTTGGAGAAGGATGATCAAGTAGCATCATAATCAGAAACTCAGTTACAATGAAAGCCCTCTAACTGTCACCTCCTCGGGCCTTCTGCAACTACACTGCTGTAATTCTTTCTCTTCTTTTGATATCCATTCATTCTTCCTACAGAACATTCAACCCAGTACATCATTTATTGTTCCTCTCTCTCATCTTCTTTTAAATTTCTTCTTCTTCACAGATGTTTCTGTTCTCTCCACCTGTCCTAAAGCTGAAAGTGCCAATTGATTCACAAGTTGGAAATGAAAAAAAATCCACCTTTTAAAAAAACTGCAAGGCATTTTTAAAAACTCGATGGTTCTATTTTTTATATATTTCATTCTGAACCTGGCTCCTGTGTGGATAGAAAAATCCAGAGAATGGGGGCAAGGTTCAAATAGAGGGTATTATTCTGCAGAGCTGGGGGAAGCCCAGATTTGCAGAAGAATGTGAAAACTAAAAGGGGGGGATTAATTCCCCCCAAACAGAGGAACATTGTGCTTGCACACAGACAACATATAGGTGCGGCCTCTTTAAGTGCCTACAGAGTAGGCAGAAGTGGAAAAGCTGCTGCCGTTGATTAAGCTGGGGGGGAAAGAGCTGGGACTGCTGCCACCAGATGTGCCAGCCTGGTGAGGGAGTGGAGGGGGAAGCATGAGCCAGACAGGTGGAGGTGGTGGTGCTGCATGCAGATGGGCAGGGGAGGAGGTGTGGGGGGCTGGAGTCATCCCCTACTGCTCTCCCAGTGCATGAGCCAGGCACCCATTGGTGGCAGCTCAGCAGGCAGGCAAACTGGCAGATGGGTGGCCCAATGGGGGCTCCCAGTGCATGAGCCAGGCACCCATTGGTGGCAGCTCAGCAGGCAGGCAAACTGGCAGATGGGTGGCCCAATGGGGGGGGGACAGAAAGGATGGGATTCCCCCCCTCAAGCCTCATTGTTCCCTCCACTTGTCTTTATGATAGAGCATAATTGTTATGAATATACTTCATTGGACAAACTTCTGTTCATGAAAGCAAACAAGAGGTTTATGTTCTAAATGCATCCTTTCCTGATTTTCAATAACAGAACTGGCAACAGATCTGGTCATTCAGAGCATCAGTATTTGGTGTGTGTACTTTGGGCTCACTAAATGTTTGATGTTCACTAAGTTAGTGATTCTTTGACCCACTTGATAGGCTGATGGATTAACAAAAGATCAAGAACAGATAGACCAAATATGAAAGCCACATGCTTTCTTCTGGAAACATTACCTGCAGCCCTAAACATGAGGGGGCTGGTGATGGAAAGATATTGTACACATGCTTGGTGGCACATATTCTTTAACTTCACATGCTTCACAGCTTCACAGCTTCACATGCTGTGGTTCAGAGTCCTTATATAACTTAACATCAAATAAAGTTCCAAAGTGTTCCAACTCTTAGACTCTTCTTATTTTTCAATATACTATTGGAATATTCAATACATAATGAACATTTAGAATTTGTGCTTTTTAGTCCATTTTGGAATTGTGAAGTCTTTTGGCTGCAGCTCACTTAGTGTATGGCTGATGGCACTGCTCCTCAGCATATATCACCACCAATCAGAAGGCAAAGCCCGGGTCCCGCCCACACCACAACTGCTGCAACAACCTGGTCTTTTGCATATGGAAGCTGATTGGACTTAACTCCATTCCACACCTCAAACTCCCCCCCAACCCGCAAGGCAGTTGGAATGTCAGTTGCATATGGAACCTGCTGTATTCTGGTGGTGTGCAGGTCCCAGGTTCATGTTTTAAAAGCAGACTGACACTGTTTGCCCAAAGCCAGAGCCCTCTCCCAGAGCCTCTTTCTAGCTCCCGTTGTATTTATTTCCACAACGGGCCTTATTTCTAGTAATCAATAAGGTTCTATGATCTCGTATACATGACGAGTATCATGATAAATGTCTGAAACAGATTATTACTGGGAAAAGGGGGGGGGACTCAACCCAGGATATGACTATGAACCAAATAGGACTAAGCTAAACTATATATATACAAAAGTACAAATACTTATTAAGGTGTACACGTGTTAAAAC